CCAGGCTCCTCTAATTCACCTGTCACACCTTTTAAGTGCGCATGTCTGAAAATTCTCACAGCTTCTGTAAGGGTGAGGGTACAGGAGCCTCTGACCTGATCTTAAGTTCAACAGAGCCTGTGAACTGACTCAGCGCGCCTCAGAGCCCTTTCCTCTGACCTCCAAACCCTCAGTCCACCCCAATCAGAGAACTCAGCCTGCTGCTTTGCAACTATTGACTTTTCAAGCTTTCCTCACAAAACATGAGCTCTCTTGGTGTCCCCAGGTGTTGGCACAGAACATGTACTCAGAAAAGGCTGGATGGATGGATGAAGCAGAGAGGAAGAAGAGGAAAAACATCTGGTCCAGTGGTTTCTTTATTCCCCGGTGGAAACAACAACCTTGTTCCTGGCAGGGGTTAAACCAGACACTCCCAGGATCTGTGGGCATGTCTCGTGGACATACCAGACCCCACTGTCCTGGGATTCTAAACATGCTGAACAAAACCTCAATGACTAACAACCACAGGATGGAGAACATGGCCACTTCCCTGTTTCCGTGGAACCCGACAAACCCTCTGACACAGGGAACAATTCTCATGGGCACCACAGTGAAGAGCCCAAAGGTAAATACTTCAGAGGCAGCAAAGGCCTTCCCTACGTCACATGGGCCCTTCAGGATCTATAAGTCAGTGATGAGGAGGTGAACAAAATTTTGATTGGAACGGAAAGCAGCATGGCCTGGAAGTGTCAGAAGATACAGGATTCATCCATCCATCCATTCATCTAACATTCACTGCATACTTAACTGTCAGATACTACTTGGGTCCATCCATTCATTCATTCATTAAGCATTCATTGCATTCTTAACTGTCAGACAGTGGAGAAGTGAGAGACTGCAATAAATCAAGAGACAAAAACCTCTACTCCACGAAGCTTGTAAGATATCTAGTGGAGATACACAAAGGCTATATCAGATGATGAGAAACTGGGGTGGGGGGGTGGGGGGGGGCAGATAAGGCTGCAAAGGAAGCTTGGGAGCATAAGATGGGGCAGCCAGGAAAGGCTTCTCTGACAAAGTGTCCCAAGAAAGTGGAGGGGCAAGGTGCAGATTCCTGGGAGAGGAACTCAGCAGTCCAGGCAAGGCCTCACTCAAACTTGCTGCTGCCTGATCTGAGCAACAGGAGGAGGAGCTAGGGCTGATGCTCCCTGGGTCTTTTCAACTCTCAGTGTACCCTCCATGGTCTGCTTCCTATCAGCCATCAAAGCCATGCTCGACTGAACATGTGCAGACCCCATACCACCGTACTCATGTCCTTCCAGCCTCCCACCATCAAGAGATTACCCTACAGGACACCCTCTTTGGCTTCCACCCCCCTTTGCAATTTAGCGAGGGTGTCACAATTCTGAGTTTCCATAATAACCTATACATATACCCCTGTCCCTCCAGCACCATGGACCAGCCTATCGTCATTGTCCATCTGCTCCTCTAGACTGAACTCCCTGAGGGCCATGACCATGCCCTGCCCATCATGACATTCCCACCTCTAGCATGGGGCATGCATGTGTGTGCGTCCTTAGTTGCTTCAGTCATGTCCAATTCTTTGCGACCCCATGGACTATAGCCCGACCAGGCTCCTCTGACTGTTGGATTCTCCAGGTAAGAATACTGGAGTGGGTTGCCATTTCCTCCTCTAGGGAACCTTCCTGACCGAGGGATCAAACCCACATCTCTTATGTCTCCTGAATTGGCAGGCTGGTTCTTTACCACTAGCTTTACCTGGGAAGCAGTTCCTCACTAAACTGGTGCTGAATGATGAACGTTGAAAGTATAGGTGAGTTCCTTGAGGGCAGGGCCCAGGGCTGATTAATCTAGTAGCCCCAGAAGGCAGCAGCGTGCCTGGTACAACAGAGATAACTACAAATATGCTATGCGAATTGGTGCCCCCCTGCCCTCCCCCAACTGTGTTGGCATTTTATCCAGGCAGCCAGGTCATCCTCAATCCCTGACCATGGAGGTCCAGGGCCAATCCAGATGTGATCCTCTGGAGTTTAGACCAGGGCTCAAGGGTAGGGAGCACCATTTAGGTTTATATATGCTGTGGGATTTCTCTGATTTGTATCTGCATTAATCTCCGACAAGCCTTAACCTCATCCTTAAGCTTCTGTGCCCAGAGATAATTTGGTGTTTGGAGCTATGGTTTTTCCAAGCTATCCATTTTACAAATCAAAACCTAATATGGAGCGCCCTCCAACGCCATGGGAGGCTCTAGAAGGCAGCCTGGCAAAGGCGCGGCTGGTGTTCTGGTCCGCCGCTTTCTGAACTCCATGGAAATAAGGACAAAATTGTCTCTGCCTGGTTCCCATCTTCCCTTTCAACACCTAATCCAAACTTCTTTTAAAAACAACCACACTGAGAAATCAATTAGATGGTAGACACCATCTAATTCCACTCTGACATTTGACAGCTGGGGAAAGCTGAGCCTAGAGAAGAAAAGTGGCACCAGCTTCCAAAAACAGACACGACTGTCTCCACTTGACAGAAGAATACACTGAGGTTCAAAACCTAAGAAACCAACTCGCAGTTCCACGGCTAGTAATTGGCACGGCCAGAATCTCCCAGGTCTGTCTGACTCTAAAGGCGAACACTGTCAATGCCATACTCAGCCAGTCCAAATGGGAGTATTCCCACGGCTCCAAGGAAGCTGTGGAGCCCAGGTTGCCTGAACAAAATCCCACAGGGCTCTGGGGGCTGCCAGAATCTCAAGTGTCCAACTCAGGCACTTCCTGCAGCTCAACAAAAAAGCTGCGGGAGGAGCTTCTCTGATGGACTGCGGTATCTTCTACTTCCCCAGGCAGGCGACAACAGTGTTCTTCGAACTTCCTTTGAAAGCTTTGCAAATTGGACTTTCAAAGGGTTGAGATTTCTGTGTAACATCACATAAAAAGGAGCCATGGTGAAAGACACTGTCCTCCCTACTTCTCAGCCCTTACCTTCAGAGGTTATTTTAAGACAAGATAATCTTAGAGCTAAAAAGAGAGCCCTGAGTTTGCACATTGTATATGTGGGTGCCTGTGAATTGTGAATGTGTGTGTGCAGGCGCTCCAAAGAGTGTATAAAAATATGCTGCAGAGACGAAGGATTAAGGAGGTTCTTTTCTTTCTTCCTCTTTCTTTCCTTCCATCCTTCCTTCTTGGAATATAAAGTCACTGTAGTTTTTTCCTCCCTTAAAGATGTAAATAAACACTCAGTCACAATCTACGCTTTACCTAACACCCTCGCAGAGAGCTCTCGCTACAATCATAGCTGCCAGGAGGTGATGGGTGGTGGGGGTAAGGCGACATCTCAACCATCAGAGCAGATCTGAAGAAAAGCAGGTTGCCTTCGAATTAGCGTTGGAGCTTGTATCTGTAAGTTTATCCTCCAGAGGTTTGTTTGATTTTTTTTATCACACAGCACCGTGAAAAGAACATACAACAAGGCTCGGGTCATGAAGACCAGCCTTCAAATACCTTTCCTGCCTCTTATATTCAGATTTGTTTGTTTCTGTGTCTGAAACTGAAAATAGTGTAATCAAAACACATCTCGTTGGGCTACTGAGAGAATCTCAAAGTCATAGCACGAGCACGACACAGTGCCTGGCTCATAGAATGCACCAGAAACCTATCAGCACTTTTACTTTACAAAACAGTGAAATTATATTTTGTAAAATTGCTTCCAGACCTGGGTAAAATACAAATGGAGCAGGAAATGAAATATCATTGTTAAACTGTCCTTTCTCAGAGCAAAGCAAAAACAGAAACAACAGAAAAATAAAGTATGGTGGGAAGTGCTATCCATGACTTAAAAATCCATGTTTAATATTTTTAGAGGTTGGGGCCCACCTTGTAGCTCTGTATCCTAAGTAACGGGAAGCCCGGAGGCCTCCAGACTTGGAAAGGACTGGGGGAAAGAAACAAAACAAAAAAACCTCTCTGCTGTTTTTTCCAACTCTTAATTATGTTTTTTAAACACGAAAGCAAAACGCTCTTTTTCCAAACAACTTTATGCTCCTCTGAGCTATGTCTGACCTCTCAGCGCCTTTTTGCTCTAAACTCCATCAAAGCAGCCAAAAGCAGGAAGTGCCTTGGCATAGGGATCTCATTCAAGGGGAGAGGAAAGGCAGGGGGACCATATTTAACCGACAAACAGAAACAGACCAGCAGCTGTCTATCTGTGTGGCAGCCGGAGGGGAGTATGGTGCTTCACCTGCACCAACCGCCCCAGCATTTCCAGGAAGCATGGCCATGGCAAGGCCAACACGGGGCCTCAGACCATGGCTCCACCGCTAGTTGAAGGCCCTCCAACACACTGTGATCCTCTGTGGGCCTTGGTCTCTAGATCTGAGCACTGGGGCTAAGGATTTCCTAGTTCATTGTGTTATTATGAGGTCACCTATGCTCATGGATGCAGAAGGATTCTGCAAAACTCAAAATCACTCTGTAGACAGATAATGACATTTAAAGCCTATCCATCAGAAGACAATGGAGGAGGACATGGCATGGAGAACATTATGAGGAATTTGATCAGAAGGCATGGATTTGAATGATAGTTCTGGTGTCTATGTGAATTTTGGCACTTTGCTTGAATTGTCTGAGCCTTACTTAGTAACCCTTTCCCACAGTAGAGATAATATTACTTATAACAAAGTTCCTGGAAGGATCAACTGAGTTAATGGATTTTCAGAAAATGGTGCTTGTTACCACAGAATGTTATACAAGTGTCTTTATCACTTAATCATTCCAAAATGGGTGCTCAATCTTTACCAAGCAGCTATGGTAAATATTATTTTTATTTAAAAAATGGGAAATGACTTCTGCTAACGCAATGGCAGGGCTCAGAATAGAAGCTAATTCTTCTAGCCAACCTCTTTTTCAAAGATTCCTCGGTGAAGTCTGGCCCTAACCACCATGAGGGCTCTGTGTACAGACGAGATTTAAGCGGGGGTTGGACTTCACTGGAATCAGAGACAAAGTACTTACCACCAGATACAGCATAGTGTACATGGAGAAGGAGGCGTGGCCGGAGAAGAAGGACTTCCTGCAAGAGCAAAAGATGGCTGTGTCAGGGCCGTACTCACATCCCCACCGCACGCTGCTTGGTCTGCCTCCCTCCCGGGACTGTGGCCCTGAGAGGAGAACCTGTTCATCCCTGCATCTGTGTGGTGCTTTGGACACCTTGCCTGTGACGTAGCAAGCACCCATGAGTGAACAAGTAAACGAAAGAAAAAACAAATGAATGAATGGACTTACCAAAGCTCCATTGTAATTGCTTTTATGATCTATCAGTTATTTGACTGTGAGTTCCTTAAGAACAGGGGCATTGCCTTATTCATCCATCTAAACCAGGGCCCCAGCACTGAGCTTGGTACTAAGTAAGTACTCCCTGAACTGCCTGCAGCAAAGGTGTGAACCTCATGCCATGGGAGGTGGGATCTCACCTGGCTTCCTGGACTTTGCTGTCTTCGCCTCTGCATTTGTAGTTTTGAATATAGCCCACAGAGCAGTTGATTTGACTGAAATCAGGGTTGCAGACGTTCAAGAAGTGAGGACGCAGGCGCCCTATGGAGACCTTGGCAATGTCTGTGAAGGACTGGCTGATGGCACAGCCAAAGAGGAAGCAGCCCACCTGCTTGTAGAGGGCTGCCACGTAGGGATTCTGAATCGTCGAGCGGGACTTCTCCTTCAGGTAATAGATGCGGTAGAATTCCCCTGTGATGATCTGAAAGACAGCGGATAGGGAAGTGAGGCAGCATCAGGACCTATTAACAAAAGTGAGGCTGCAAGGATAGTCAGTGACATAAGAAGATATTCAGGACATAGCTATAGGTTATAATCTAGAAAAATCCCAATTTTCTATTCAAGAAGTATATAAGGCACCAATGTGCATGGGAGAAAAGACTGAAGTACTAATACAGTACTAACACAGTCATTTTTTCCTTATATAAAAAGTCCTACATGGCCATATAGAACCTTTGTAAGAAGAAACATATGCAATCAAATAGTCATATGTAAATATATAACATATAAAATATATATTAATATATATATTAAGATACAGACATCCATACGTGTGTGTGTGTGTTGGGTTGGCCAAAAGTTAGTTTGGGATTTTCCATACCATCTTACAGAAAAATCTGAATGAACTTTATAGATATCCATGTGTGTGTATGTGTGTGTGAGTGTGTGTGTGTATGTGTGTGTATCGGGTTGGCCAAAAAGTTAGTTTGGGTTTTTCCATAGGAAAAACCTGAATGAACTTTTTGGCCAACCCGTTACACACATGTGTGCACACACACACACTAACAAAGAGAAAGACAAATAAGGACTTAGCTATTGAGGAACCAAAATCATGATTAAGGCTGGCCAAGGTGGCACTAGTGGTAAAGAAGCTGACTGCCAATGCAGGAGACGTAAGAGACGTGGGTTCGATCCCTGGGTCGGGAAGACCCCCTAGAGGAGGAAATGGCAGCCCACTCCAGTATCCTTGCCTGGAGAATCCTATGGACAGAGGAGCCAGGGCTATAGTCCATAGCGTCACACAGAGTCCCACGTGACTAAAGCGACTCAACACAGCACAACAAGATGTCAGAGGGTCTGAGATTTTCCAGATTCTAGGACTGGGGGTCACGAATCACCAACTATGATCAGACTCTACACAGGGCCTTCGCCTGTGCCACACTGAGTCCTGGCTGAGGTTTCTTCATGAAAGGATGAATGCTCCCTGACTCGGTTTTGGGTTTGAATCCAGGCTTTGTCACCTACCTGGTGTCCTTCAGAAATAACTTAAACCTCTACAGAGGTACTGTCAGAAATGTGGCAACTGGTGGAAATGCCCTGGGTCACAGAAAGGGATTCTTTCATTTTACTCTTAAGAAGTAGGGCATGATGAAAAGAGTACTAGCTTACAAACCGAGAAACTTTAATACAAGGCCTTTCAGAGTTTGTGAATTCCCAAGGGTGCCTGCATTGTCTCCTCCATCCTGAAAGACAGTGAGTCAGTCTGGGTTTTCATATCCTTCCTCCATCCCACTGTGTCTACTCTTTAATGTTTAGGGGAGATTCATCACTTCTTTAAAAAGAAGAGGGAAAAAAAAAAGAGCCAGCAACGATTGATTATGAACAGCATGTCAGTCTTTATTTTTTATGTACTTATGACACCCCCACAACTACCAGGAGATAGACTGAGACTCAGAGGGGAAAAGCACTCTAACCGAAACTGCCTGCTTTTACAGGCAGGTAAAGAATGGTGGGGGCTTGGGGCAGGGAAGGGGGTCAGCTGACTCTCTGTAAGGTAAACACCTTAAATGCCTACACAGCTGAGGATAAGTCCTGCACTAGTGATATACCACTGCTCAGCGCGCTGCCCTTGACTTAACTCCACAGAACAGCCCTGGCCACTTCCTGGTCACAACCACAGTGCAGGGACAGCGATGTTCAACTCATCATTCACCACAAAGTCCTTTTCACACTTCCTCACAGGGAAGGCTGATGAGCCATACTTGCCCTTTCAGGAAACAGAGCATGTTCACAACCACAAGGGGAGCAATAGACTGACACATCCGGGCACTCTTCTCATAGTCTCCCCTCATTCTTTTTTAGCTAGGGAAGGCATCCAGGCTGAGCGTCTGATCCAAGTCCAGGGCTCCCAAGTCTGGAGGGGAGGATGGCCATGAAATGCCAGCTGGGCCCAGGGGCAAGCAGGTGCAGCCGTGAGAACAGCTACTAGTGCTGCTAACGTTTATACAGTGATTCTGTGTTTAAAAATGCTGGTGATTTCTCAGTGCTACCCCTCGGTTTCCTGGATCATATTGAATTTCCTAGATCATATGATTCCATTAGAGAGATGGTCAAAGGCCAGCCCTGTCTGGCATCCTGGCTGAGCCATTCTCTGGGAGAGCAGCAGGACTATTAAGTGAATAAATGAATGAAAGGGGGCAAGATGGTGGTCCATACGGTTGTTTTCATTGCAAAATTGGAAATGTCCTCTAAACATTACCAAGAGTCCTTTGACAACATGCTGCAGAGATTAAAATCTGAGAAGCCTAGCCAGTCATAAATGAAAGGGTCCATTATATACGGAAGAAACTGAAGTTCAAATTAACTCACATCTAAAGATTAGACCCAGGTGTTCTAATTCTCCACCCAGCATTCTTTCCTACCATTCATGGTCTAATTCCCCTTTTGAACCTGTTTATACTTTTACCCTGTGTAACCTTATGGGCTAATATGTTCCAGATGTTTATTACCACCATCATGTTCTCTCTTTCTTATTCTTCTTTTTTTTAAAGTCTCACTTTGACTTTAGACATGGGGGGAAATGCACTAAACTAGGAGTCAAGGAGCCAGAGTTCGAGTCCATTTGCAAAATGAAGGCCCTAGACTCCGTGATTAATTCCTTCATAACTGCAGTGGCATTTATTCCCAGCTCTCCAGTGCTGCTTTCACCAGTAGCCTCTCATCAAAGCAAAGATAATAAGCAGCAGGAAAGGAAACATACTTGCTCAGATATGACACAAGCCAAGAACAGAATCAAGGCCCCATGCATAATTCCTGCCCTAGGATGACTCCTGAGTCCTTGAACCATCCACTGAAACAGATAAGAAACTGTTTCTAAATGGGCATGTCTTGGGTGTAATTTCCAATTTGATGCTGAAAAAGAACACGTGGGTTCCCACTGCAGATCAGCATCTCTTCCATCATTTCATGGTTGATTAGTCCCAGGGGTGTCACCTCTCGGCTTCAGTCATCTCAGGGAGAAAGGGTTTGGTTACATCTCAAGGACAATCTTTAGCTCTCATACCCTTCATTCTGAAACTTCAGTTTTCAATGCCACAGTCTTGCAAACAGCAAGCTAAGTAAAATGCTTCCTCCTCTCACGGGAAGATAAAGATAAAAAGAGAACATCCGATGGCCCCTCAAATTCCCAATAACAACTCTAATACTACTAGCAATCTTTTATATTTCTTTTGCAACTTACAGTTTCATTTAATCTGCAATCTGTGAGGACAATATACCCAGTTTACTGATGGGAATACTAGGGCGCTGAGAAATAGTGACTTATCTGAAGGATTTGAGGCTAGAAAGCTGACAGTTAAGAGTAGGGCCCAGATATTCTAACTCTCAAGCTCAAAGACCCACAGAAGACTACATCAAGATCATTTTTATTATTTCTGTTATTAAAAACAATTTCCACTATAGAATAGCAACTGTGTATTTTCAAGGACAGGATCAGGCTGAAGCCATTTAGCAGACATATGACTCCAGGACCACATGGCTTCTGGGGCAGCCCTGACAGATCTTGGAGTTAATGAGCAACAAATTATGTATTTTCTCCATCCCCTTGTACAGAAGGGTCGGGGAGTTGACAATACAGCCATAAATCATCATTATGAACTGGCCAGGTTTGGCTTCTTGTAATCCTAACCCTTAAAAGACCATTTAATGAAATTCGGGCTGCCCAAATACCTCACTTCTGCAGAAGAGGCGAAGGCTTAAATTGTTCTCCGACACGTTACACACCTAACTCTGGAGTTCCAGATTTACTGCTTTCGGACTTTATTCATTACTCGCAATGTTTTTATTCCCGGGTAATAAAATAAGCTCTTCCCTCCCCCCCTCCCCCTACAAAGGCTCTGTCCCCACTCGCAGACTCTGGCCCCTGGAGCCCTCATTTCTGCTTCAGTCAGCAAAGTTGTGATATGTAAATTTCACAGCTGAGAAAAAAGCCTTCCATCGATTCCTTTCTGAAACAGCAAGCAACAGATTCTGGGGGTGATGGCAGGCTGCCAGGCGAGCAGAGGAGAATTCTCCCCTACCTGCCTTTTAAAGCACTTGGCACAAAATCTGGAAACTAATAAAGTGGGAAAGCATTGCAATTACGCTATGAGGGGACAGAAAGGGATCAATCAGTCCTCGCCAGAGAATGGCTGAGTTTGGAGGGAGGTTGCCTCCCACTCTTAAGACAGGTCCTCTTCCAGTCTTTTCTGGTATACAAGAGCTCAGTTGCCCACATATTCACAAATATTGAGCTGCTCTGGAGAGGAAATTTGGGAAAACATTAGGAGAGACATTTTGGAAAGGAGAGATTACACGGTGGTGAAAGAAGCACTGACTTTTGGAGCCAGAAGAATCTTGATCTGTATATCCCATCTCTTACCGTGAACCTAGACAAGTGACTTCACCTCCCTGGGCTTAGGTCTCCTTGTCTATGAAATAAGAGTAATATCTTGACAAGTACATACTGCTATATTTAAAACAACCAACAAGGACCTACTGTATAGCAACAGAAATTCTGTTCAATATTCTATAATAACCTAAATGAGAAAAGAGTTTGAAAAAGAATTGATACATGTATATATATAACTGAATCACTTTTCGGTACATATGAAACTAACACAACACTGTTAATCAACTATACTCCAATATAAAACAAAAATTTTAAAGGAAAAAAAAGAAATTAAAAATTTTAAAAGGATTAAAATCTACCTGGCAAGATCCTTGCCAGGGGAATCAAGAAGATGATATATCAAATATCTGGCACCTAGCAGAAGAGCTCTGCAAACCATAATGTTTTTTTTTTCCTTCCCTTGGAAACAAAGAAACAAAAAATTAACACAGGCATACCATTTTATTGCACTTTGCAGATACTGTTGTTGTGGTTGTTGTTTTTTACAAATTGAAGGTTTGTGACCACCCCCGCATCAAGCAAGTCTATCGGCA